AAGTATTTGTAGATGTTTTTTGTATTTTGCTGTCATGACAATAGTACCAGTTTGGCTGGTTGGTTTATAAGTTTACATACAAATAAATAAAACATCTACTTTACCATTAAAAAAAAAAAAAGCCAGTTGGGAAAATGACTATCAGACGCTGTGGTCTGTGGACAGAAAACCTTGCTTATGTGAGCAAATCCTGCTGACGTGCCTGCCAAGTGAGACATCACAGCCAGGCGGTGACGCGGCGACCGGCAGAGGCTGTCACTTCCCCCGGCGACTAGTTCCTGTGGACACAGAGGGGAGGCTCTCCCGCGCTCTGCACTAGTCCCGCAAGCTGTGCGTCTGGGCGTCTGCCCTCCACAGCGCCCGCTCCAGCCAGGGCCCTCACTTCTGCACTTCCCTGGAAGGCACTGGAAGTGGTCACCCTAGGGTTTTTTAAAATACATTTTTATTGATTGTAGAGAGGAAGGGAAAGGGAGAGAGAGAGAAACATCAATGAGAGAGAATCATGGATCAGCTGTCTCCAGCATGACCCCCACTGGGGATCAAGCCCATAACCTGAGCATGTGCCCTTGACGGGAATTGAACCTGGGACCCTTCAGTCCGCAGGCCTATGCTCTATCCACTGAGCCAAACCGGCCAGGGCCACCCTAGGTTTTTTCAGGCGTCCACAGCTGCCTTCACCTGGGAAGGTGCAGTTGACCCCAGGGGACATGGGCATGAGCACCACAATGAGAAGGTCCTGGGACTGGCTGCAGCCACCCTGATATTTAAATGTTTGGAAATTTCATAAGTAAAAAACTTACTTGGGATATTCCAATTCAGCTTAAAATTATGCAGTGGGCTAGCCAAACAGTTCTTCCTTCACAAAAATGAAACTTATGGTAAGTGCCAGAACTCTAGAGAACAGAGGACAGGTTCCAAACAAGACACACAGACGTGCACAGACGAGACACACAGACGAGACACATACAGACACCCACAGACAAGACACACACGAACATACACACAGATGAGACAAGATACAGGGCTGCTCCGAGTGGGGACAGAGCAGCAGCCAAACAGAAAGGCTGTGGAACTCCACTTTCCTCCCAGCCTTCACACCACGTCTCACTAGATCAGACTGCACTTAATTCTTATTATTAGTAGAATAACTTTATGAAAGAAAGCTTTCAAATGACCACTCTGAGAAAAACGTAAAAAAATTTTACTACAAAATTGATGAGGCAGTAAAAGCAACCTATTCTGCATTTTTCAAAAGGTGCTGGGCATCGCCCGGCCAGTGTGGCTCAGTGGTTAAGTGTCAACCTATGAACCAGGAAGTCATGGTTTGATTCCTGGTCAGGGCACATGCCCAGGTTGCAGACTCCCAGTGGGAGGTGTGCAGGAGGCAGTCGATTGATGATTCTCATCATTGATGTTTCTCTCTCTCCTTCTCCCTTCCTCTCTGAAATCAAGAAAAATATATATTTTGAAAAAGTTTTTTTAAAAATGGTACTGGGTGTGGACATGCCTGCAGAAACAAAATGGAACTTCAGAATCACATGTAGAGTGCCACGGAAGGTGACGGTTTATCCAGTTTACATGACCAATGCGACAGCACAATCTGAGTTTATGGGTAATCACTACGGTCAGGACTTCCATTGCCCCACACCTCGGCCCTCACACACAAAGACACCGTCAGATTTAACGATGTAGTAACTGCACACGTGAGCGATCTTATACAGCATACACTAATAAGAAAAGGTGGTGAAAACAGAATCCAGGGAGAGAAACCAAGATGGTGGCATAGGTAAACACCGGAAATTGCTGCCTCCCACAACAACTTCAAAAATACAACGAAAAGACAAAACGGACATCATCCAGAACTACAGAAAGGCTGGCTGAGTGGAAATTCTACAACTAGAAGGAAAGAGAAAAGCACACTGAGACTCAGAGGAGGTGTGGAAGTAAAGTGCAGAGGTACGCAGGCTCGCGCGCACGCACGCAAAGGGGCTGGTACCTGAGGCCGCAGCTGTCTTTTTGAATTGGGAGGGAGTCACAAGCTCCCGACTGCTCTGAACTCCGGTTCCGGGAAGTCTCTGGGGACCCAGAGCTCATACGGGGAGAAACTGGACTGTCTGGCAGCAGGCAGAACTTGGAACTTGAGGGCGGCTTTCCCTCAGAGGTGCTAACGGCAATTACCGGGACACTGAGTGGCGGGCACCCTTAGGGCAGGCTTGAGGATCAACCATAGCTGCTTGCTCCGCCCTGTTGATTCCTAGACCCCGCCCCACCCAGGCTGTGCGCAGAGGCTTTTGCATATGAATGCCCTGGCCTTTTGCAACCTGAAAATTACCTAACAAATTGCAGCTGGGCCAGACAGGCCCAGAACTTCCAAGAGAAGTGCCCAGCCCCACAGCAGCTTGCATTGCTTCACAGCTGGGCCTCATCTGGGCACCTCCAAACCCCAAAAAAGGAAGGGGAATCTGCAGATCTCTTCTTAGCTTCTGCTGGGTAGCCTCAGGCAGAGGCTAGATTAGCACCTCCTTAGAGATCCAAGAGCCAGTGTACCCAGTGGTCAGAGTGGGACCATCCAGATCACAACTCCTCAGATCTGTAAGGGACACACTCAGGGGGCAGACTCAGTGAGCACCAAA